CCTCCCTTTCTTTGTCAGGCCTCTTGATGGATATTTTACATGCTTTCTATATCCAGCTCTGGAACCAGCACAGAAGTACAGAGTAAGTCACACATGCCATGCTTCCAATGCTACACAGCATGGCAGCAGCTTTCATGTACTGACCAACACACTGAAGATCTAGAAGCAGTTCATCACATCCAGAATTTCCTTGCTTTCTGTCTGTTCTGGATAAAGCTGTTCTAGAGCTGGTCTGATCTGGAGCATAAGTGCCAGATTGAAATATTAGCAATAGCATCAAACCGCAGAGCTACCTACCTCTAAAATTTATTCAACCCACCTTCTGATTAAGTACAGTACGCCCTGTCTGTCAGGAGGATTGTCGTAGAATGTGTTATTTCACAGCATGTTTAGCAGTAAAGGAGTTTAAAGGACCACTCTAGGCACCCAGACCACTTCAGCTTAATGAAGTGGTCTGGGTGCCTGGTCCAGCTAGGGTTAACCCATTTTTTTTATAAACATAGCAGTTTCAGAGAAACTGCTATGTTTATAAATGGGTTAATCCAGCCCTCAAATCCTCTAGTGGCTGTCTCATTGACAGCCGCTAGAGGCGCTTGCGTGATTCTCACTGGGAAAATCACAGTGAGAACACGCAAGCGTCCATAGGAAAGCATTGTAAATGCTTTGCTATGAGACCGGCTGAATGCGCGCGCAGCTCTTGCCATGCGTGCGCATTCAGCCGAAAGGGAGGAGAGGAGGAGGATCGGAGGCGGAGAGCTCACCGCCCGGCGCTGGAGAAAGGTAAGTTTTAACCCCTTTACTCTCCCCAGAGTCCGGCGAGGGGGGGACCCTGAGGGTGGGGGCACCCTCAGGGCACTATAGTGCCAGGAAAACGAGTATGTTTTCCTGGCAGTATAGTGGTCCTTTAAGCATGCGTGGGATAGGCATAAGGCTATCCTAAATATAAGATAAGGCCAGGGACTAATGAAATTATTTAGAAAATTGGGCAGACTAGATGGGCCGAATGGTTCTTATCTGCCGTCACATTCTATGTTTCTATGTTCTTCAGGCAGTATGTGAAATAATACAGTTGTTTAATATGTGTTTTAACTTGTTTATTGCTAGAATGATCCAAAAACGGCTACTGCATAGTGACTTAATGTGTACCATCAGCAGTGTAAGGGTTAAGCAGTTGCCAGTGTGCTGTGTGTGCAATGTCACAGGATATCAATGGGTTAAGGAATTGACAGATGTTCTGCATATTTTCCCCATACATTGTTGCAGGTACAAAGTGACAGGTCCCTTGACTCTGCCACAGTTTGCCTGTGAGAGTTTGATTGTAGTCCTGGGCGCAGGCGTCAGGACAGCCAAGTGGCCGATTTCCGCCCTGGAAAAAAAACCAGCTGGCTGAATGCATGATTTGTCTGTGCATCATAATCTGTTTGATAAGACTCGTGTCTCGCTCTGCTCTGTCCTGACACATGACATTATAATATAAAGCTGGGTTGCCT